GATTGTCGATGAAGTAAAGTTGTAGTTTCCATAGCAATCGAGTAAATTACTTAGTTTCGTTTTGAAAGTTTGTTTTTGTGACAATCGGTCCGCTAAAAAGAGATCCAAAATTTAGGGACATCAACAAGTTTTTAGGAGAAACCAGCTAATGACAAGACCCTTTGTACTTCAGTGTTGCGTTAATTTCCAATTCAATCAAAAGTGTGTCTAATGAAGCGATTCGAATGTTCATTCCGGCAGAAGACGACGGTGAATTCCTCTTGACAAGCTGCCGGTGGAATCTACAGGAAAATACTTGTTTACACCATTTCCAAATCAATCTCATTCGATTACGACGAAAACAAACAGCCTTCGTACATCTTATGTCAGACATTATCATTCTTATAATCACATTAAAACTTTCGTTCATGGAAGCCTAGTGGCTTATCCATAAATGTTGTATATATACTTTTAGTGAGGTGGAGAGACATCTGATTACCTCATGTCACATGTATGTATGCTTTATTTCTCATATGTGTGTTTATGTAGAGGTAGAGACTCGAAACAACAGTAAGAGCTCAAAGTAACTAGAACAGAGAGTAATATCTGTTCTCAATACTGAAATATTTTTAACCATCACTCCGATTGTTTAATGCTAGAACAATGTCTAGTTTAGTTGGTGAGTGTTTTTTGTTTGCCCACATATCATTAGGAAATACACGGAATGTGAGGAGCGGGGGTATGAAGTTGAGTAAGAACTACTTATGTTTGATCGATAGATTGCAGGAGAAAGAGAGAATGTTGAGTCGCCACCCCAAATAAAGAGACTCAACTTGTCCGCTCAGTGATGGCTATAGCTTCACTCGCACTCGTTTAACATGTTAGATTAAGCTCATCAAACAAACAAGAATTACGAGATTACGTACCCCCCTCAGATCTTTCTTGCTTACTGACCTTCGCAGTCTCGGTCATGGTTTTCTCTTGGGTCCTTAGGCCTTGATTATCATAGCTTGACATTAACCTTTGTTGATAACTCTGATTTAGCGTATAGACGCTATCACACACATACACACACACACACACACACAATCGAGCAGGATCGGTATGAAAGATAATTAGCCAAACCATGCTATATCTATCTCTGCCTATTAATGTTCCTTTGTTTATTAGAGTCTATTTAAGAGGTAAGCTAGAGCCGGATAGTCTTCTTGCCCTAGTGTTCACTTGAGACCTTTACAAGAATGAGTTCCAGCTCTGATGGTACCCAGCATATGATGGACGAAAGCTCAGCCCTTCGACTGCGTCAACCTTAAAGCCAAAAGGCCGCTTAACAACGAGAATTTGCCGTCGTCTAATGGGGATATCCACTTTTGCATCTCTTCTTCATGCAGTTACATACGAAATTATAGTCTATCCATAAATGTTATTGCATGAGATTCATCGAAACCCTATTACTCTTCGTATCCACGTATATAGTGCATAGCCAAAAGTAGAAGCATGAGCGTCAAAATATCAGTCAATCCGGCTTCTTTTTCCAGGTAGTTCAACAACATCTCTATCCTCAAGTCTGCCAATTAGAGATCAAGAGATCTTACTTAACTGCTTTTCTGTATTTCTGGCATTTAATGAATCCTGATGAGATGTGTTCACCCTATTTGGTTTAGGGTGATGAAGGACTGGTAGTTGAATTTTCCCACAATCATATTAGTAGACATGAAGTCTAAATTGAAGTTCGCCAAAGTTTATTTTATTCAGTTCCGACCTCGCCTTCGTCTTATCAACATCCCCAGCGGGACTCGAACCATGACAATGCAGCGCATAATCTCGACACATTAGCCACTATGCCACATTGTCACGTGTGCCAGGCATTTTTCCATATCACATTCTTGGGGGGGATTGTCGATGAGGCAAACTTATATATATGGTAGTATTTTATTATTAATTTAACTAATAGTCCTTAGTAACCTTAAACGAAATAGAGTGAAGACATCTCATATATACGATTTACTGGTAGTCTCGAAAAACTATTCAAAAAGGAGATATTTACTGCAGCTACAGACCCTTATATTCCATGTCCAGTTTCGCCTGCGTGTTCCGCTTCCTCTGACCTTTGACCCCAACGGCGTTTACAGTTACATTTAGTCCAGCCACCCTCACGTCTAGTGGGACAATATGTCTCTACACTACAGATACGGCTGCATGAATACATTATGTCAAAGTAATTTGATCTGGATAATGGGTTATATTTCTCTCCAATAGCGGGCATAACCGAAGAAGATGTCACAGTTATACGAACAAAAGTTGGGTTTCGAGGAATCTCTTGTTTCATAATTGTTGCGATTACTTCCATTTCGAGTAGAAGTGTTGAGTGAAGAGATTCGAAGGTCGGTTCCACCAGAAGACGACGGAATTCCTCTTGACCAGCTTCTGATTGGCTTTACTGGAAGATTCATGCTGACGCTGTTTCCGAGGCAATCTCCTTCGGTTCCGGTAAAAACGACTTTACTGGAAGATTCATGCTGACGCTGTTTCCGAGGCAATCTCCTTCGATTCCGGTGAACCCGTGCTGGCTTTACTGGAAGATTCATGCTGACGCGGTTTTCGAGGCAATCTCCCTCGATTCCGGTGAAAAGGTGCTAAGCTTTCGTCCGTCATATGACGGACATCGGGCAGATTCATGCTGACGCTGTTTCCGAGGTAATCTTCTTCGATTCCGGTGCAAACTTGCTTAGTTTCGTGCGTCGGAGGTCGGTTCCACCAGAAGACGACGGCGGATTCCTCTTGACCAGCTGTCGATTGGCTTTACTGGAAGATTTGTGCTGACGCTGTTTCTGAGGCAATCTCCTTCGATTCTGGTGAAAACGTGCTAAGCTTTCGTCCGTCATCCGGTGACGCTATTTCCGAGATAATCTCCTTCGATTCAGGTGAAAAGGTGCTAAGCTTTCGTCCATCATATGGCGAAAATCATCAGAGCAAGGCGGTTCCACCAGAAGACGACGGCGGATTCCTCTTGACCAGCTGTCGATTGGCTTTACTGGAAGATTCATGTGGGTGAAGAGATTCGAAGTTCGATTCCACCAGAAGACGACGGCGGATTCCTCTTGACCAGCTGTCGATTGGCTTTACTGGAAGATTCATGCATTTCCGAGGTAATCTTCTTCGATTCCGGTGAAAAGGTGCTAAGCTTTCGTCCGTCATATGACGAACATCATAGAAGACGGCGGATTCCTCTTGACCAGCTGTCGATTGGCTTTACTGGAAGATTCATGCTGACGCTGTTTCCGAGCAACGGCGAATTTCTCTTGACCAGCTGTCGATTGGCTTTACTGGAAGATTCATGCTGACGCTGTTTCCGAGGACTGCGGATTCCTCTTGACCAGCTGTCGATTGGCTTTACTGGAAGATTCATGCTGACGCTGTTTCCGAGGCAACTCCTTCGATTCATCATCCGAGCGAGGTAACATCGTCACAACAAAATTCAACCTTACGAGTTAACAATTATGAAACAAGAGATTCCTCGAAACCTAACTTTTCTTCGTATATATTACGTACGTATGGTATCAATTCTTATCAACTTTTTTCTGGCTATACGAAAATCAAGAAATCTTTGGAGTTTTCTTGACTCGTAAGCTTGAACTTTGTTGTGACGATGTTACCTCGCTCTGATGATGTCCGTCATA